CTGAGGCAGGGGCTGAGCTAGTAAAGAGAGATGTGGATGCTAGACCAGCACCCATCCCTGATGGCTTCTAAAGCAATATAGTATAATCTTCACTGACAGTGACTGTTGTGTTTTCATCCAAGTGGTCATCAAAACTGACTTTTTAAAGTTTCATTTTAATTCCAGTTACTTACCATACAGAGTTATATTATGTTCAGGTGTACAATATAGTAATTCAACACTTTCTCTAAAGATTTCTGCTTTTTATTTATTTATTTATTTTAAAAGATTTTATTTATTTGACACAGAGAGAGACACAGCGACAGAGGGAACACAAGCAGGGGGAGTGGGAGGGAGAAACAGGCTCCCCGCTGAGCAGGGAGCCAGATGCAGGGCTCAATCCCAGGACTCTGGGATCATGACCTGAGCCGAAGGCAGACGCTTAATGACTGAGCCACCCAGGCGCCCCAAGATTTCTGCTTTTTAATGTGCTTAAGGATTGTCATCCTGGAGTCGGTCTGCTGCTCAGACTGTGTTACAGGAACCATAGACATAATTTTCAGATCTGGACCATGTGTACTAATAGCACCTCATTTTTGTAATAAATGTTGGGTGAATGTATAGACATCATCTGATCGTGTGCAGAAACAGTGTGTCTGATTGCAGTTGCTGGAGTAGAAATGTTTTCTATAACTCTGGTTCTATGAAGTGCTTAATAGATTAAATAATCGTGTCTATATTGGTTATTCAGGTACTTTTCCCATTAAAGTAAGGAAGCAGCATTTAAGAAAAATACAACCATACATTTCAGACATGATTTTTAAGCCCTAATGTATCTTGTGATATATGTGCTGCTATTAAATATTAAATAATACCAATCCAAAAACTATGTCACTTATACAAGATACAAGGTTTTCGCCGTAACATTGCATTTTGCATCTCTTGTATTTCAGTGTCTTTCACAAATCTTGCTTTACAGCTACAAACTAGTAGCTGATTAAAAAAATTATATTTATATACATAGATAATAGATAAGTATATGATTTGAATGTAGTCATAATTTTCTTTCTGCCTTACACACTCTAATCAGGCAGTGATACTTCTTCCCCTGAGTTCCTATGTCTTGTTCATTTGTTCCTGGAATGAAAGCAATTGATTCTTTTTTTTTTAATGTAATTTTTTATTATGTTATGTTAGTCACCATACATTACATCATTAGTTTTTGATGTAGTGTTCCATGATTCATTGTTTGCGTATAACACCCAGTGCTCCATGCAGTACGTGTCCTCTTTAATACCCATCACCAGGCTAACCCATCCCCCCACCCCCTCCCCTCTAGAACCCTCAATTTGTTTTTCAGAGTCCATCATCTCTCATGGTTCGTCTCCCCCTCCGATTTACCCCTCTTCATTCTTCCCTTCCTTCTATCTTCTTCTTCTTTTTTTTTTTTTAACATATAATGTATTATTTGTTTCAGAGGTACAGATCTGTGATTCAACAGTCTTGCACAATTCACAGCACTCACCATAGCACATACCCTCCCCAATGTCTATCACCCAGCCACCCCATCCCTCCCACCCCCCCACCACTCCAGCAACCCTCAGTTTGTTTCCTGAGATTAAGAATTCCTCATATCAGTGAGGTCATATGATACATGTCTTTCTCTGATTGATTCTTTCTGTTGCCATCCTACTATTGAGACATTTTTTTTTTAAAGATTTTATTTATTTATTTGACAGAGAGAGACACAGTGAGAGAGGGAACACAAGCAGGGGGTGTGGGAGAGGGAGAAGCAGGCTTCCCATGGAGCAAGGAGCCCGATGCGGGGCTTGATCCCAGCACCCTGGGATCATGACCTGAGCCGAAGGCAGACGCCCAACGACTGAGCCACCCAGGCGCCCCTATTGACACATTCTTGCATTCATTTAATCCAGCTTGTCCTGGGGCAGGTGCCTGCAGCTTTGTAGTACTGTAATCAGTGCACCTACAGTTTATTACTATCTCTAAAGCTTTATTTAAGTTCATATTTGGCTATAGAAACAGGCTTCATAAATAAGTGAAAACTCATCATTAACAAAAATTTAAATAAACCAGCAATCTTGGGCGCCTGGGTGGCTCAGTTGGTTAAGCGACTGCCTTCGGCTCAGGTCATGATCCTGGAGTCCCGGGATCGAATCCCACATCGGGCTCCCTGCTCGGCGGGGAGTCTGCTTCTCCCGCTGACCCTCTTCCCTCTCGTGCTCTCTCTCACTCTCTCTCTCTCAAATAAATAAATAAAATCTTAAAATAAATAAATAAATAAACCAGCAATCTCAATTCAGATGACAAGGGGGAAACATAAAACTAAATTGACATCTGGTTTATTTAAAGAACCACAGCTGACTAGTATTTTTATATATTATGGATTCCATGCACTAACTCTTTTACCAGCCCAGGCAGGGTCCAGTCCCCACTGTGCCCCTAATTAGTGAATGACTTCAGACAAAACATCTCACCTCTGTGTACCTGTGTTATGGAATGCAGTGAGGAATGCCTTGTGAATGAGGAATGCCTCATGAATCTGTGAGCAATAAGAAGTTACCCCATGAGTGGCCATTATACCAGTGATTCACACATTGTAAGCATTTGGTAATGGTTGTATATATAACTCTTGGAAGGTCCTAAATGACAGAAGAGCTTTAAGTATTATTTCAAAGTAGGAAGTGTTGCTAAGTGGAGAATATGGATTTCAGTTGATGTGATCCGTGTGGCCCACACCTGATATTCTCATGCAGGATCCTCTAGCCCAGAAGACAAATATCAGTGAGAACTGACATCATGGCCACCGGGGATCTGGCAGTAAGAGTGACCTTCTCAATACAGACTGTGGTTGGAATCCTGGGGAACTTCTCTCTTCTTTACCATTATCTCCTTCTTCGTTTCACTGGGTATAGGCCAAGGTCCACAGATTTGATTATCAAAAATCTGATTGTAGCCAACATTTTGGTCCTGTTCTCTGTTGGAATATACAATACACTGTCATCTTTTGGGTGGTATCACATCTTCAATGATTTTGGATGCAAATTTTTTCCCTATGTTCGTAGGGTGGGCAGGGGAGTGTCCACTGGCACCACCTGCCTCCTGAGTGTCTTCCAGGCCATCGCCATAAGCCCCAGGAACTCCAGGTGGGCAGCGCTTAAAGGGAAAGCTCTCAAGTGCATTGTCCCTTCAATTGTCTTGTGCTGGGTCTTGCAGGTACTGGTGAATATCATTTATCCTATGTTTCTGACTAGCACTTTGAACAACAAAAACATCACAAACAGAGAAAGTTTCGGACGCTGTTCAACTATTTTTCAAGACAAAACGAGAGACCCATTATATGTAGCATTGTTGTCATTCCCTGATATGGTATTTTTGGTGCTCATGCTCTGGGCCAGCAGCTCCATAGTCTTCATCCTGTACAGGCACAAGCAGAGGGTCCAACACATTCTTAGGACCAACGTCTCCTCCACATCATCACCTGAGTCTACAGCCACCAAAACCATCCTTCTTCTGGTGAGCACCTTTGTCTATTTTAACACTCTCTCCTCTATCTTTCATATTGTTTTGGGTCTTCTTGATAATCTCAGCTGGTACATTTTGAGCACCAATTTAGTGTTCTCTCTGTGTTTCCCAACCATCAGCCCCTTTTTGCTCATGAGCCGTGACCCCAGGGTATCCATGGTCTGCTTTGCCTGGATAAGGAATATAAAATCCCCTCATCCTATGAGAAACATGTAAATTGTAGGAATTTCCATAATATTCCTAATGTTGGTAATTCACTCATCCTCTCAGGGTCCCAAGTACAATGATGAGAGGCTAACAGAATGTCTTGAGCAACTCCTTCAATGTTAACAATAAGTCATAATAGTAATTGTAATGTGATATTATGTAATTATCTTGTAAGTACTCGTGTGATTGAAGTTTTGCTATTGGTCGGTGGAGGAGGGCAGAAATTATGCCATTATAAACATCAGGTCCTGAAGCAATCTGGATATTATAAAGAAGTCTTTGAGTGTGTCAGGTAAATTTGTCACCCTAAATTTCCCAGAAGTGAAGTAGGCATGGAATTATAGGTAAAGGAGCATGAACATGGATCAGCATGTGTCAGGTCATCAGTGAAACTGAAGAGAATTGTGCTGGAGGGGAAATTCAGTCAGTGAATCAGTTGGGGAGTCAGTTATTTTGTAGTTTTCCTACTACAGGGGAGGTAGTCAGTCACATGAACTGTGATGTCATGGGAGCTTGGGAGATGAGTATACGTAAACATTTTCAGGTAGAAAAGGACAGATTAAACTGGAATGGGTAGTGGAGAACATAGAATTACATTTTAGCTGATTCTTTTTTATTATTATTATTATGTTCACTAGCCAACATATAGTATATCGTTAGTTTTTGACGTAGTGTTCAACGATGCATTAGTCATGTATAACACCCAGTGCTCATCAGAACTCGTGCCCTCTTTAATACCGATCACCCAGTTACCCCTTCCCCCATCCCCCTCCCTTCTGTAACCCTCAGTTTCTTTCCTGGAGTCCAGAGTCTGTCATGATATTTCTCCCTCTCTGATTTCTTCCCATTCAGTTTTCCCCTCCTTCCCCTATGGTCCTCCATGCTATTCCTTATGTTCGACATATGGGAGAAACCATATGATAATTGTAGCAGATTCTTAAACAGCATCAGGTGATGGTTACAATTTAACGTGACATGAATTCCATAGAATTGGCGTCTGTAGAAGGCAGATCTTTCTCTCCTTTGCGAAGGTGATTTGGGCCTGTTGGCAAGAAAGAGGTTTGGTGGTGAACACTCATGTCTCTGAAGTGATGAGATTAGTTTATGGTAGAGACTTCCACTGATTTGCAGCCCCGAAGGGAGAGCCATTTGGAAGGCAGAGACATAAGTCCATTCTGTTTATGTGGAGTTTATGTGGCCCCTTGATTTTCGATTTTCCTCAATTTCAGGAGAGATTTTTTTTAAAAAGATTTTATTTATTTATTTGAGAGAGAGAGCACACATGTGCCACCGTGTAGGGGCAGAGAGGAGCGAGAGGGGAAGGAAGAAGAAGCAATCTGAGGTGGACTCTGCCCTGAGCATGGAGCCTGATGCAGGGCTCCACCCACAACCGCCAGGTCAAGACTTGAGCTGAAACCAAGAGTCAGACACTCAATGGACTGTGCCACCCACGAACCCCTAGGAGAGATTTTTATATGTTTATATATTTATCTGTATCTATATTGATATAGAATCTATATCTATAGTTAGATTTTTATGTATATGTTTATATATCTATATATGTCTATCTATAACTACATCTATGTATCTATTTTTATATAGTTTATAGATATACATATCTATATCTATACAGATAGATAGATATACTTATAGATTATATATAGAAGTTTGTACCACAGAATAGAACCCATATTTGTAGCTCACATGAAGCACTTAAATAATTTCCTCAAATTAAATCACAACACAAGAAGAAAAAATAGATATTGACACACTCATAACTTCAGCTTTGCATGTAAAAATCTACTGTGTATGATCTCTGTGCCAATGTACACATATAGATGTAGAGTTAATCATGTTTGTTATCCACCAATCAATATATTGCAGCTTTGTCCTTTAGTGCAACTTTTCAATAGTACCAGTTATAATAATGACCAAATCAAGGCGTATGTGATCTGATGTGTATACTGCCATGCTCGTTGTTGGACTGTTGCATTTCCATGAAGTGCACTTTTCATTTTTCTACTTTAACTCTCTTATTTTGCCATATCTCTTGAAATAACACCCAGTGAACAGAGGAAAACATGTTTGATGTTAAATGGGGTCGTTAGAGTGAAGATGGACTGCCAGGTAATAGTCCAGAGGCAAAGGGCTGTCCTCCACACCCCTGGAAATCCTGTTCTTTCTGAGTGGCTGGTATAACGCTACCTTTTCCTGCTAGAACTCTTCATATTTCTGTCCAAAGCTCTCCTGCTACCATCTCCAACAGCCGATCTAGGAGTGGATGTGGTGACGCCTCTCCCGAGCCTTGGAATTGAAGGGCTTCGCCTCTTTTTTGGTACAAAGGGAAACCTCTGCCATCGAAAGATGCCACTTGGTATTAGCGTGGACTTGGCCTTCCCATCTGCCATGCTGTCCTCCTACTGCCTGCCACTGCAGACCTCCGTGCTCTACTGGGAAGTCATCGTGAACACCATCTTGCTCTTCCTCTGTGGTTCGGAGCTGCTGCTGCTTGAGGTGCACACTGTGGCTGTTTTCTCCAGGATGGAGAGGATTTGAAGTACAAAGATTTCAGCCAGCAGCCCTCATGGGCTGAGACCACAGATACTTCTGGTCTTTGGCCACACCAGTGAGAATTGGTGGGTCAGGTTGTCCTGGGCAAGGTCACAGCTTTCCTCAGCACAGACGTCCGGGTAACACACTGAGCACAAGACCACTGGGCGTCCTCTTCTAAAGCAAGAGCGAGAGTCTAAGAGACTGTTCTACACTCCAGTGTTGGGAGGGGCAAGGCTGTCCCGTCCTGGCCCTTCTCAGAAGCAGTTTCCTGCTGCCCTCCCGTTCTCTTTGATCCTCCTGGCCAGAGCATCTTGTGTGGACCATGTAGTCTCCTTGGGCTTCCAGCAGGACCAGAGCCACATACTCCCCATATGTGCTGTGCCACCCCTGTCACAGGAGGGCAGAGAGCCTCAGGATGGTCGGCTCCCAGGGTGAAGCCAAAGCTTCTCACCTTGTTCCTCAGAGATTGAGCTCCAGAACTTTTTAGTAGCCTATGGTGTTATTTTTCTATTCTCTTCCTGAAACAAACATTATTTTATAATAAATGTGTATTTTCTCTCAAACAAATAAAAGTAGTAATTAGTCTATTTAAGGTTAATATAATTAGCCTTTGAATTGAGTATCAGTGGGGGTTATTTTCTGTTTATCTGTGTTAACTTCTTTTCTATGACTTTTTAAACACAGTTTTTATGGTATAATTCTACATAATAATTGACCCCTTTTTTTAAAGTTGTGTCCTCATTTCTTAGTCTTGCCTAGAATTTTATGCATACTTTTAAAAGCTATTCACAGTGTCATTTCATTATAGACTCATATGAAACCCCACCTTTACAGTATAAGGACAACACTAATCTATTTCTTACATCCCATCTTCTTTATTGGGGTGATAAATTAAAAAAATTTGAAGGCACCTGCACAGGTCATAAGTGTATAGCTCGACAAAAGTTCAGAAAGTTATCACCTTTCTGTACTCAGGACCTAGTTCATTAAATAGAATATAGTCAAACCCCCAGAAGTTCTTTGTACTCCTTTGGAGTCACTGTTCCTCATGGTCATGACTGCTCTGGTATAGAACATCATAGGTCACTTTATTTATTTATTTATTTTGTATTTTTTTTTAAAGATTTTATTTATTTGAGAGAGAGAGAGCACATGAGAGGGGGGAGGATCAGAGGGAGAAGCCGACTCCCTGCCGAGCAGGGAGCCCGATGCGGGACTCGATCCTGGAACTCCAGGATCATGACCTGAGCCGAAGGCAGTCGCTTAAGCAACTGAGCCACCCAGGCGCCCCATCATAGGTCACTTTGGCCTGTTTTGCATTTGATAAGGGAAGTAATGGAGCATGAACTCTTTTCCATTTGGCTTTTGTCATTTTCTATGGTGTTTGTGAATTTATTGCTGCATGCGGTTATTGATCATTCATTGACAGTGGTATATAGGATTCTATTGTATGAATATACAACAATTAATCATTCTGTTAATTAACATATGGGAGATTTTCAGTTTGTGAGTAATAGGACTAATGCTGGTATGTAAATTTAGACCATGTTTTATTGGCACACATAGAAATTTCTGTTGGCTATATAAGTAACAGTGGAATTGGTGGGTGACAGGTTTACACCTTTGCCGCTTAAGAAGATGATGTCAAAAGGGTTTGAAAAATGTTTGTAGGAAGTTTCATACCCACCAGCCATGTGGGAGATTTTCCGATTTTCCACATCTTTGCCAACAGGTTTGATTTTATTTTTATTTTTGACTTATGGTTGGTGTGTGATGGTACCAAGAAGTGATTTTATTTTCATTTCCTGGATTACTATGGAAGCTGAACATCCTTTCAGATATTTTTTGGACATTGGGCAACCTATTTTGAAATATTTATTAGTTTAATTTGTCCATGTTTACTATTGCATTGTCTTTATTGATTTGTAGTAGTTCTTTACGTGTGCTGGACATGTTTCTTTTGTTGGTGTCTTTCTCTCATCCTCTCTCTGTGTCTGTCTTGTGCCTGCTCTGCTGAGGAGACAGGCTTAATAGTAATATAACCATTCCCTCCTTTATACAGTATGTTTATTATTCCGTTCAAGAAATACTTTCCTATTCTGAGGCTACAGTGATATTCTTGTCCTTTGTTTTATTTTTAAAAACGTTACCTCACTTTAAAATTTAGATCGTCAGTCCTTCCAGAATTGAACTGTTGTGTATGTGGATAGTGAATTGTTTTTTTTCTGATAAGCGGACAAATTTCAATTCGTTCAGAATATGGGGTAGTATATGTGGAGCTGAAGGGAAGAGCTGTGAACAAGGAGCTCTTGCTGCCTGTTGT